AGCATGGTTATAAAAGTTATATAAACGCTTACTCGAATTAGTTGGGTTAAAAATGTTATTTTATCCGATCAATTATAAGCAAGCTATGGATATGAGCATATAGATATGCTAACACTAGAAAATTTGTCACGAAGTTAATTTTTAGTGTTTGTACCGACACTGAAAAAACACGGAAAGTGCATCACACCGTGTAACTATTTTAAGTCATAGGGGTCTATTTTATCATCTGACTCGCTTATACGGGAGAGTGCAAAACTTTTCGGCTGAACCGCAGTTGTTATTGAATTAGACATGTTCAAAGTTTTGGCCGTAAATGTGTCCTAACTGAAATCGCTGTTAAAAATGACCATGTACGGGTGTTGCGTAATCGATGACGAGTATAAACAGTACTTTATTAATGCTGCAGCGTAACGCTATTCGGGAAGTATTTGCAGTCTATGTACAAGTCATAGCGTACAAAGCCCTTATCCGGCTTAACCCGTATTCTGCTCAACTATATTCATCTAACGAGATTGATAATATGAAAAGACACACGCCCAAACAGAGCTTATCAGACAGTTTAATTTTGGCCCGGTTTGATACCGATAACGTACGTATAAAATACGTGTAAGAATTGAATTGAACTATTCGTATCGCAGTCTCCAACTACTATGTTTAGACGCCAGGCAAGTCATCAGTAGCTCGTATCACAAACGACCGTGCCTTCAAACCTACGTATCTGAATATCATTTTTAGAAATCCAGTCATTACGCTACGTGATTACTATAATGATGGACAGTGGTTTAAAGTTTACAATCGGGATCAAAAAACACCCTTTTACCGTTATTATTAATACATGCGGCAATGGAACAGAATAGAAAAAACAAGGAGCTAACCTGATTTAGGAAATATTATACTTTCTTATCGCTGGCCATTTTTATATTTATTGTTGGGTGAATGGGGATTTCTGTTATTTGCTGTTCCACAATGTACCAATAGTAGTCGGGCATCAAACATGTGTTTGGGCATCGGTGATAGGCGAACGATTATGTACGCTGGTACGTAATCAACACTATGTTGTGGCGCTTTTGCAAACAAAGATGTTTTGGTATCCAATGAGTCTCGTTTATAGTAAACCTGTCTATCGGACCGAGATTTTAGCGATGGTTCGTGCGATATAAGTAAATGGTTTTATATAGTAAACGCTTTATTTACACAGTAAGCAGATTCCATCTATAGAAGTAGGAGAATGTATCAATCAATTCATGTTTTTCTTATTGTTGGTAAATCAGTCTTTTATAGTATCATCCAATCGCTTAATTTATATGACAGAGCTATGACGTAGAACACTTGGTCGATGATATACGTAATCAAACACTAAACAAGTCTAGCGTGCCCGACCTTTTTGTCTGAACACTCACTAACGCCTCACAGGTATTCATCCATTTTGGTCATCACATGTTCACATCAGTTGGGAAAAAAGAAACTATTCTTATTGTCACTATTGCATTGACGTTCATTGTTTCTGATGAACGCACACGGTCGGCTGTTATGGCTCATCATTCAAACTGTTAGTATTAATATAAATGTCAATCAAGATGATTTCATTGGTTGCAATATATTTTACAATACCCAAAGATGTGTTTACAAATGCACGTTACACATCATTTACTTGCACATTGTGCAAAATATTTATAACGAGATTGATCCACCTTTTCGTCTTTCGCTTTAAAGAAAATATATCGATATAAGATTGCCCTTTTTTTTTTCGTGCTCATAATAATATCGGATCGTTCAGAAACAATGGGTCTTTTATCTCTTGGTAAGTCGTACAAGGCTACAAAACTTGAATAACACTGGAAGTTTTTGGCGAATATCCGGAAAACAAGAGAAAGTGAAGAATCTTACCAAAGAAAAATTATGGCAATTTTTTAGGAACTCCACTGCCTTGGGACAAATCCCAACAATATACAGAGCTCATTAGGCATCATGGAATTGAACAATTTTTGGCGCTGTATAATAAAATGAAAGATAAAAAAACAGAATGTTTGCTTTTCGGCGATGAAGTACGAACCTATACTTATAACCAGCGTGATTTATACGATTTTCGTTTTAACTTGACATTTTCATCTTGACATTTTCATCTTTCCTTTGATCCGGTCAGGTTGAATATATGGTTATTTTTATGGACCATAACAACAAGAATGCGAAATTAAGTTTAAGAGTTTCCGAGATTTTCTCCGAACTTGCAAAGGAAGAGGCGGAGGCAGAGAATGACCCAAAGTAAGGATTTAAAAACTGATCCAAATTGTGATTTATTGGGATTTACAGAGAAACTTGATTTTGCTGCCCGAAAAAGCAATCACGTTTGGCGCCATCGGTTACTGAAATTGACACATTCCTGATATGTAGAAAAACGGTACAGAGTGGATGGCGGCCAGAATATGCAAGATATATGCTAGAAGGTGAATAAGGGTATCGAATCGTGGGAATGGAATGCATGTCCCCTTTGTCGGATCAGTCTTCATGCTCTAAACCACCTTTTCTCGACGGTAATCTCTACATAGGCACACCAGGAACTCCATTCGGAAACCGATTAGTGGATCTAACTCGCGTAGAATCTAGTATGAAACTACGTCGACAAACTGTTATGAAATATTTGAGGGCAAACGAAACCGTCGTCACCGTCACCAGTTTTCCTAGGCTTGGTTGCCTCGGTGAATTTCTAGAACCACATTTTGAACCAGGCGGGCCTGTGGCAAAAAGTCTTTTCGTTCCTGATGAAGTTATCAACCCGCATCCGAGATTTCCGTAGGTGTATTTATTTTGTAAAAAACAACAACAATAATAATAACAACAACAACAACAATAATAATAACAACAACAACAACAACTCGTGGGCTAGTTTTGGGTCCGTTGATCGATATCTTAATAACTCGTATATTTTTGCAGGACATTGACGGCTAATATCCGTACTAGGCGTGGATCCAAAGTGGCTATCAATATGCCGATATTTCATGATATTAAAACACCAAAGCCATTCATTGATCCTACAATACCGTGGAATCGGGACAAATTTCCGGAAGATAGAGAGGCCGCTTCGGGAGCTGCTTTGCCTGATCATATTTACATGGATGCAATGTCTTTCGGAATGGGAAGTTGCTGTTTGCAGATTACATTTCAAACACGCACAATAGGTGATGCCAGGAGACTATACGATCAGCTGGCCACGTTGACGCCTATAATGGTAAGTCTCCATAACACGAAGAGGAATGCCCCATTCTCGTATATGCCACTGATCATATATTCGTTATGTAGTTGGCCCTAACAGCTGCTGCTCCGATATGGCGTGGATATCTTTCTGATACTGACTGTCGCTGGGACGTTATTGCAAGTAGTGTCGACGATAGGACGAAGGAAGAAAGAGGCCTTGAGGTAGAGATGTGGTTAAAAGAAAGCGAATCGTGAATGGCTCTTGTACTAATTCACTTAGCATTTGAATCACAGCCATTGAAGAACAACAAGTTTGTCATAAATAAATCTCGATACGATTCAATTGACACCTATATTTCGACGGACGCCCGTCTTAAACCAGAATACAATGACCTTCCTCTAGTTTACGATGAGTCGATATACAAGAAACTCATAGATAACGGTTTGTAATTTCATCACGTATCAACATCCCAGTCTTCGTTGCTCATCTTATATTTCTCCATACAGGTATCGATGACCTGTTGGCGCGGCATCTTGCTCACTTGTTCATCCGCGATCCTTTGGTAATATATGACGAACTCTTGCATCAAGACAACGAGACGTCAACTGACCATTTCGAGGTGACCTGTTTTTGCGTACGAAAGTAATGGTTGAAAAATTTGCTACAACACCGATTATTAAAGTTACATTTATTTAGAACATACAATCAACAAACTGGCAAACGGTACGCTTCAAACCACCGCCACCAAACTCGAACATTGGATGGAGAGTCGAATTTCGCAGTATGGAAGTCCAAATTACAGATTTCGAGAACGCAGCATTTGCGATTTTCATTGCATTGTTGACGCGAATCATCCTGGTATATGGGCTTAATTTCTATATACCAATCTCCAAGGTACTCTACAAAGCCTTAATCGACAAAACGACTCTATTTTATACTAACCTATCCCGCAAATTTACAATTTAGGTTGACCAAAACATGGGGATCGCCCACAAACGCGGTGCAGCGCTGAATGAAGAGTTTTGGTTTAGGAAAAGCATTTACGACGATCGTGAGTATGAATAAGCTTGGATGTTCATCAACCGTTTTCGTTATAATGATTCAGATTATGTTCACCTTTACAGCTGTTCCACCGGCCGGTGGCTGTCATAAGGGACACCATGTCTCTGAAATCAATGGTGCCAACCTAACCAACGGTTCTACGAACGCTAAATGGGAAAAGATGACAATAGACCGAATCATTAATGGAGATGTAGGAATACTGTGTGTTTTATGTTTTCTCGTGTGTTAAAAAATTATTGACTTTATTTCCACGGATGGGTACTCGTAGGATGGGCATTTTATAGGGCTGATTCCACTCATTAAAAGGTATCTCGATACGTCGGACATTGATCATGATACGCGCAGACAACTAGACAGATATCTAGACTTAGTAAGCAAGAGAGCTAGTGGTAAGCATTAAAGGATCGCAATTTCTCAAAGTCATCATGTTGTTGTTTGCATTGTTTTTAACAGACACATCTATTCCAACAGGAAATTTACCAACAACCGCGACGTGGATCCGGGAGTTTGTCCGGTCACACCCCAAATATAACTACGACTCGGTCGTTAGTCAAGAGATTAATTATGATCTATTCAAGACGATTGAAAAAATACAAACAGGACAGACAAAAGTCCCAGCGTTCCTGGATGGCTTTGAGATCTGAATGGACAATAACGTATCCATGAAAGATTGATGTTCTACATGAATTTGCTGAGCTGTGTCAGTATGTGTTTTATTTTTTCAATCTGTGTAGTACCAAACGATTTTATGAATTATGTGCACAATAACCCTGATCTTGTTCAGTAAGGGGTTTATTGCGTCTACCACACATGAACGGAAGACCAAAGAAAAAAAGACGTCTTTATGGTAGCCTGATCTAGAGTGAGGACGAAGCGTCGCCTCACTTCCGGAGGGGCCATTTGAGACGAGCGATGTGCGAGAACAAAAAAAGTTTGGTTTTTTTTGTTTGAAATCTTTGTGATATGTGAATCGTTCAGCGCATTCAATGCAATAAAGTCGTCGAAACGTACGTTTCCAATGACAGCCAGTGTTTTTGCTACTTTATTTGTCTCGGTAGAGAACACGATCGGGTTTGAGATGAGATGTCATATAGTGTTGCGACTTTTCTGTGGATACAGAAGTGATACGCTGTATAATATTCTGTACTCAATTCTGCAAGAACACTATAATGCTCTGTCGCATCTTTCCGAACCCCTCTCCCAGGAGGATCCCTTACAGTTACCTTTTTTGATTATAGTAAGGAGAACATAGGGGTCCTCCTCCCCCTCCCTCCCCCCATACGCTAAAATTCAAAAAGAAATGATTTTCACACAGACATGATATATCTCTGATTAGAAATCAACGTGTTTTTGCTTACAAAGGTTGTACATTAATTATAAACCGTTCAAAAAAAAAAAAGACAAGTTGGTTCACGAGCAACGATCTTTGTAAGAAGGGCAAAATTGGCGCTTTTTTTTATTTCAAATAGTCTTATATGAGAGAACAGATGAAATAGTAAACCCGTTTATTCTGATATCAATTGCTGCCAAATTATTGCTTTTTTGTAAACAAGAATTGTCATATTTCAGGCGAAAAAGCAAACAATTAAATATCATACTTGCCGGAAGCTTGGGAAAATCATGATTTGTAAAAACTCGGTTAAATTATCATCCAAATTTACCGTATCGTCGCTAAACATAGCCCATCTGGGAACGGTACCCTATTAGACCCGGTACCAATCAGTTTGGGTATTTATCTATAATTGATCGGATAAAATAACATTTTTAACCCAACTAATTCGAGTAAGCGTTTATATAACTTTTATAACCATGCT